AATTTTATAGGCGAGGGGTTGTATTATACATACTGTTCTCACTTGACACCTACTTTTCTCTCTCAACAATATGTCATAGACATCTTTCCGTGTCAATAAATAGAGCTCTACAAAATTATTTTAATCCCTTCATAGTATTTCATTGGATGCATGTATCATACTTTGTGTCTCTATTGATCGTTTAGAATGTTGTCAAGATTTTACTCTCCTAAACAATGTTGTGATAAATAGCCATGTGCATCTCTCCTTGCTCATTTTTGCAATTATCTCCTTAGAATAAAATCCTGCAAATAGATTGCTGCAATAAGGGTGCACTGTTTCTAATCTTGTCAGCCTGCCCTTCAGAAAACTTACGATGGGCTTCCCATCAACAGTGCTCCAGCCCCTGCCTGCCCGCACCCTCGCCAACCCGGGGTTCTAACGTTTGGCCAAATCGACAGAAGGCAATTGACACTCATTTTGATTGGCATTGCTTAGATTAGTGAGAGGAAATGAATATCTTTGCATGTGTTTGGGGCATTTATAATGATGTTCTTGGTGAATAGCCTCTGTTCATGTCCTTTACCCATTTTTTAATGAGATAATTATCTTTTTCTGAATGAGTTGTAAGAGGTCTTTGTACATTTGAGATCAGATTAAACATTTGTCTATCATATATGCTTTCTCTCTCTTTTTTTTTTACTTTCATTTTCATGGTCTTTCAGGTATTAAATTTTTAATTTTTATATATCCAAATTTATCATTCTTTTATGGTTTCTAGATATCACATTATGATTAAAAGGATCTTCCCCACCTTAAAAATGACCAAAAAACTCATTCCTATTTATATCTCTGTGGTCTGTCTTCCTGGTTTGAAAAACCAGCTTGTGTTGTAATGGCTGGCCCATTATCCCAACATCACTTATAAAACACCTCATATATTCCCAACTCAAAAGAAACACCACTTTATCATATATAAAATCCCCTTAAATGTTTGGATCCATTTCTGGGACTCCTTTCTGTCCCAATGATCTGACATTCTTACACAGACTTTTAATGATTGTCCCTTTGTAAACATTTTAATATCTGATAGAGTAAACATTCTTTTTTTTCCAGAACTTTCCTGGTTGCTCTCATTTTTTATTCTTCAGATTAGTTTTCAGATTAGTTTTATAGTAATTTTGTAATTCAAAAAAAAGGATCCTGTTGTTGTCTTGATTGCATTGCCTTCATTTTGTACATCCATTTAAGGAGAATTGACATCCTGACAGTATTACATCTTTCCACCCAGGAACAAGGTATGTGTCAGATTTATTCCAGTCTCTCATATCCCTCAGGAAAACTTTCTGGTTTTCTTCATGTAAACTTTAAATGTTTCTTATAAAGTTTATTTCCAGGTATTTTGTATTATTGTTCTATACTTGCCACTGTGGATGAGGTCTTCTATTTTACCTTCTAGATAGTCATTTTATAAATTAAAAAGAAAGCTATTTGTTTTTGTTCATTGTTTTGTTACTAGTCATTTTACAAAACTTTTATTTTTTTAATTATTTTTTGGGGGAAACCAGCTTTTTCAGATGAATAATCATCTTATCTGAAAACTATGATTATTTGCTCTCCTCCCCCAGTATTCACACTTTTTATTTCATCTTCTTGTCTAACTGCAACATCTATCATTTTAGGGAAAGTCTTTTTTGAAATATTGATAACAACAGCTACTCCGGTCTAGTTTCTGACTCTAGTCTAATAAGAATACATCTAGGGTTTCACCAGCCTAATGCCTGTTGTCCATCCTTCCTACTCCTGTGACCACTATTCTAGTCCGGCCCATATTAATTTGTCATCTGTTTTATCACAAACATGAGAAATTAGAGTGCAGAGCCTCAAGTCAGATGATCTGTGTTCAAGTCCTGACTGCCATTTACTAACTACATAATCTAGTCAAGTTATCAAGATCTTTGAAACACAGTTTTAAAAAATAAAAAGAGGGGTTGTTGTAAGAATTAAGTGAAAAAATGCAAACATTACGTATGGTATCAGTAAATAATATTTTTTTAGTTTCAGCCCCCAAATTCTCCTTCCAACCCAACCTATATCCCACTCATAGGTTGATCTTCCCCAAATACCACTGTTCACATGGCTCTATCACTCCCCCTGCTCACAATCTTTCATTATTCCCCATTACCAACAGGATCAAGTGCAAACTCTTAAACTTGTGTCCGAGCCCTTTCGTCATTCAACTCCAAGCTTCCCTTCAGCCTTATTTCCCGTAGCCGCCTGCTGCCCCGCCCACCACACCCCTCCCTGCCCTTCACTCCAGCCAAGACATTCTCCTCACTAGCGCTGCCTACGGCTCAGTAGGTCCCACTCCCCAGGTTACTGGCACAGCGCCCTTCAGCGGCCCCTTTACCAGCTTTCAGTTGCCAGGAATACAAACATGAAATCCCAGCTGGTTTAAAAAGTGGATACTAGTATATTAGCTCACTCGACTAAGTAGTCCAGATGCAATGGCTTCAGGCACAGTTTGAGCAGGACTGGGATGCCATTTCTCGTGATTTTCTGGCCTCTTCCCACCTCCCGTGTTGACAGTAGTCTCACGTGGTGTTCCTAGTCACAAAGTGACTGCCAGGATTTAGGGCCACCTGCTTCCTCATTTGAATACAGACAGAGAGATTGGATGTCTTTCCTCGGCCTCTAACAAAAGTTCTAAGCCTCTTGTCTGATCGGGCCAACCTAACCCAGCCCTATGACCAGGGGAATATGTCTACTGATTAGTTTACAACCAACCAACGTGCCAAGGTAGCAACAGGTGGATTATTTTGACTGGCTCAGCCAATCGGGATTCATCTCCAGAGCCCACACACACTCGCTGTTGGAGATGGATGGGGCATTGACAACAACCAATTGCACTACAATCCCTTCCGCTTCACTTTCCTGGGAGGTGGGCTTCCTTTAAGGCCCAAGTCAAACCCCAGACCTCTGACACGAGCCCCCTCTCGTTGAGCTCCAGAGGCCGTACTCCCTGCTCCACACATGGCAACCACGGCCATATATAACTTACTCATATAAGAGTGTGTCTGTTCTGCCCATGAATAATCACAGAACTGATGAAAGTCTGCAAAAACCCTTTACACAAGCTGGCCCTTTTGACCTTCACAATAATCGTCTGACGCTCAGAGAGGTTACGTGACTTGCCCTATGTCACACAGCCAGAGACAACATGATGACATTGCCCCAGAGACCTCTTCAATATGTCCCCCCCCCTCACACACACACACACACACACACACACACACGCACGCCTTTCTCCTCCTCCACTCCCCAGCTCAGGCCTGACCTGAAGATACAGAAGCCCCTGGCACCACCTCCTTTTCCCGACTTCACCTCAATTTCTAGAGCTCTGAAACTTCCTCCAAAAAGTACAAAGTTTTCTTGCCAGACAGCAGTTTCTAAGATTTGTGTGACAAGGCCGGGTAAAATTCAAATGACTCTGGGTGATTTAATCTGCTTGGGGCTGGGGTGGTAAATCAGCTCTGCCCAGGCTGCCGCAGCCGCCCCAGAAAGCCACAAGCCGAGCGGATGATAGGGGTCTATCTGCTGATCTGCAGGTGAGGGCCCTGGAAGCGTGCACTGCGGCCTGGGAGTTCCCCTCCACTGCTCTCGGAATACATTTGGAGGGTCCTATAGCCCACAGCCTCTCCCGGCCTACATGTTCCACCAGCAGGCATCTCTCCCAAGGATGCAGCCCTAATTCCTCCCTCCCCCAGCCCCCGTCGTCGGAGCTGTCTCCCCGGTCCACACGGGAGGTTGTAGGGGAGGAGGCCAGCATTGGTCAAGCTTTCACTGAAACTGGGGCCTCGGTGCCAGGTCCTTGTGCACCCACACACCCATTACCTCATTTCATCTTCACAACAACTTAATGAGGGAGGCTTGTCCATCCTCGGCTTACAGGTGACTTAATTGAGGCTCCGAGTGATTAAAAAACTTGCCCAGGGTTATTACATAGCTAGCAGGCGGCAGAGCCAAGATTCAAACCTAGATTCATGAGACTCCGAAATCCTCGTGCCTTTCCCTCCACCCCTCTGTGGAGGCCGAGGGGAGACGGCAGCTTTCGCTGAAACCCCGTGGTCTGAGATAAGAGAGGGGACAGCCCCTGGTTAAAGGGGGGTTGTTATTCTGAACAAATGAAACAGTAGTTTTTCCCGCACAAGGGAAATGTCAAAGCAGAAGGTAGTCACACTATGACGTACCCGCTGTGTGTGCCTACGTAGGTGCCCGGGACCAGGTGCTCAACACCCATCCACCTAACCGTCACTGTGTAAGCAGTGGGATGCTGGTAAATATGTGCCAGCCAGCGATCTGGAGGAAAAGGCAAGCCTTGGTTTATAGCGTTTGCCAATTCCTGTGGTGTCAATGTTCCCACCGGGATCCACTGCAGGCTACCAGTGGGATGTCACTGAACACAGAGTTGGGAAGGGACGCCCTCAATGAGTTCTCTAAGCCAATGGGAGAACAGCATAGGAATAGAGCCAATCATGCTGTGATAATTGTGTGTGGTGGGTGCTAGACTTACTAGTAACAGCGGAATCGCTTCATGAGTTATATAAATGTCTAACCCTAGAGTCTAGGGCAGCCGTGGGCAAACTACGGCCCGCGGGCCGGATCCGGCCCGTTTGAAATGAATAAAACTAAAAAAAAAAAAAAAGACCGTACCCTTTTATGTAATGATGTTTACTTTGAATTTATATTAGTTCACACAAACACTCCATCCATGCTTTTGTTCCGGCCCTCCGGTCCAGTTTAAGAACCCATTGTGGCCCTCGAGTCAAAAAGTTTGCCCACCCCTGGCCTAGACTGAATACCTGAAATTAACATCATATTGAATAGGAAAACAAACAAGCCAGTAGGAACCGACTCCAGCACACCACTGCCTGTCCGAGAGGTTTTATTAAACCCACTTAACAAATGAGGCCGCACAGAGAGGCACTCGGCTGAAATCCATCTCTTTACAAGTGTCTGAAGTCCGCATTCTCTCCACAGCTCCGTGTTCCCTGAGCCAGAGGTGATGTGGGGAGCCACGCTCACCGGTTTCTGAAGGACGGTACCCTCCTGAGAGGTCCTGAAGGGCAGAAGAAAGCCAGTGGGTAGAAATCAGCAGACCGAGGTTCAGCTTAGGAAAACTTTCTAGATGGACAGCTCCAGGAAGGTGGTACCCAGCTATGCCTGGCACATAGTAAGTGTTCAATAAACAATGACTCAATGAATGAATGAAAACAAGAAAGAAAAAGCCCATTACATGCATATTCTATTGATACCTCAGACTCACCTAATCCATTACTGAGCTCATCATCTTTCCCCCCAAAAAAAACCTATCCCTCCTCCTGTGTTTCCTGTCTCAGTGAATATCGCCAAGCCAGGAACTTGGGAGTCCTGACTCTCCCTCCCCCTGACCATCCCCACATCCAATCAATCGCCAAGCCCTATCTGTTCCTCTGGAGCAGAGGCTGTCCTCAACCTACCCACTCTGCTCCCTGCTCAGACGGTCACCCTCTCACCAGAGCTTCCTCGCCAGTCTTTCTGCTCTCGTCCCTTGCCTGGCCCCACCGCCAGCCCCTGTCTAATCCATCATCAAGGAAACTGCCAAAGCGATCTTTCAAAACTGCCCCTTGGAGTGTGTCCCACCCCGTCAATGGCCTCCCATGGCCCAGAGGATGGAACCAAAGCCTCTTGGTTCTCCAAGGTCTGGCCCCATCTCCCTCACCTGTCTGAGCGCTTGGCTCTTCCTCCACCCACGGAGTTATTTATTCAACATCATTCGTGCCTTTGCTCACACTATACCCTCTGCTGGAAATGCCCTTTCTTCTCTTTCCCACCTCCCTTCCTTCACCTGGAAAACAAATACTCACCCTTTAAGACATAAAGGAAGGTGGTTCAGCCGATGATTCTTTTTCGCACTAACATTTCATGATTCTAACGCTAAGAAGGCTTTTTAGATTCTGCTGTCACCTTCTCTCTTCCTGGGACCCTACATTGGGGATCCTCGGGTTCAACTCCATCATTTTATGGGCAGACAATCCAAGGCCCTGAGAGGAAAGGGGCTTGCCCACGATCTCACAGCAAGCCAGTGGCGGAGCCAGGGCAAGACCCAGACTCCTGCCTCCCAGCTCAGGGCTCTGCCTTTGCAACAGACTCCCCAACTGGATCCGCTCCTTGCACTTCAACACTTATATTCTCATTACAACCATCACTACCCCACCCTGACTCACCTCCTCACACCCAAGGCAGCTCTCACCTTTCCTGCCTGTGCTCACACTGCTGCGAGGCCAGGACCTGCCCCCTCCAGGAAGCCCATCCTGGTTATCCAACCAATCCCATCCACACCCCACACCCTCCCCCAAATCACCCACCCATCTTGGTCAGGACCCAGCGCCTGGGGCCTCGTTCACTCACAGTGGTCAGCATCTTGTGTTATCTCGCCAGGCAGGATGTCCGCTCCTCCATCTTCTTTCTTCTCATTCTCCTCCTCCTTGTACAGCCCCAGCTCCAAACACAACTGCTCAGGGTAACAAAGTATGGCGAAAAGAGGGTGACATCTGAGGTCAGGTAGATGGAGGTTCAAATCCCAGCTCTGTAATATCCCTGACTGGTTGCCCAAATCCATTTGAGCCTCAACTTTCTTTAAAGAATGAGCTCACCCGTGCTCCACGCCCAGCACTTAGTAGGCTCTTCATAAGTGACAGTTCCCTTCCCAGGTGAAACCCCAAGACACTTGGAGAAGACAGCGCCTGAGGGCTGGGAGGTGAGCAGAGTCCTGAAATCTCACTCCCACCCTCACCGGGCTGGGAGCAGCCTGTGTGCAGAAACGTGGGGCGAAGCCAACCCCCCGTCCCCACCCCCAACAATCTGCTTTAACCTTCCTATCACAAACGCCTTGTTTATTTCAATATCATCCGTTTTACTTTTCCGTTCGTGCAAAAAAAAAATTTTTTTTTTTGTACAAAAACAGATTTAAGAGGAAAAGAAGTCTTTAATGAGTAAAACTGTCTGCAGCCCTGTTTCTTTCTCAGGAAAAAGTGGCTGTGATTCTGGCATGAGAGGGAAGCTCAACAGCTTCCCTTCACTGCAGCTGCCAGGAGAAGTGCATTTCGGAGGAACAGAACCTCCACATTAAACAGTGCGCCTTGGAGCCAGGCGCTTCCTGTGCCCAATTCCGCTTGGCAGGTGACACCCCAGCTCAAGCGGGGATCCGGCCCTGCTGCGAGCAGCCGCAGGCTCTCCGTTCCTGCCCGCCTCCCGCCTGGGAGAGACAGCCCTGCCAGGCCCTGGCCAACCATTGACCACCGGGATAAAGGCTCTGCGACAGGAGGAGACAGCTGGAAAGGGGGCGGCTACGCCAGGCCAGAGGCCAAGGGGACCAGGCCCTCTCCCGGTTTCAGAGCATCAGCGACCAGCACTTTCTCGCCCCCAAATGAGGGCAGCGTGACATAAAGAGCAGGCCCGGGACTCGCTGCTCAAACACAAGTTCAGAAAATCTGCAACTTCATTCTCTGCTTCAAAGGTGTCATTTCAGAGGGCCGCTCTGGATGGGACCCAAGGGTCAAACTCTAGAAGGGCTCTGTTCCTCTAAGAACCCCCCGCCCATCCCCACCCCCCCAAAAAAGAGGAAGAACTGAAGAAAAAACAGAAAAGCACACCTGACCTTCAAATATGAACAATAGTGACTGCCCCAAGTCAGGATGGTGGTCCCCTCCCTTATCCCAAACCTCATACCTCTATTAATGTAGCCCGCTGACTCATCATGAGCCTAATGGCCCATGACTTCTAAATCTCTTTCTTATGAGCTGCTGCTCCTCTCTACAATCTTCCCTGTAGTTGAGATGGGCCCCAGCATTTATCCCTGTGACATATCCTTGTCATGCAAGCCCATTGAGATCCTTCGGGGTCCTGATTCTGCTATCTGACCTTTTCTCTGTTCTGCCACCTCCTCCTGTTAGAGGCCTGCACCCCTTATGTCTTCTCCTGGATCCTTGGCATATATTGGTCAGAACTGGGTAGAAGGCAGAGCCCCATAGACCTTTACAGGCTGACCTGGTTCCACTCATATGCACATTTCGTGGCTGTTGTTCGGCCAGATGGGAAGTCCCTCTGTGCCTTCACAGCCACTATCGTGTCCTCAAAAGCCATGAGAGACCCTGTCCTGTGTCTTAGGAGGCAGCGTGACATGACAGAAAGGATTGAATAGATCCAGGCCTGAATCCCAGCTCCACTGGTCTTGGGCAAGTCACTTAACTTCCCAGAGAGTCCGTTGCTCACCTGCAAAATGGAGATTGTCATAGCTCGTGCACAAGGGTGTGAAGATGAAGGCAATGTATTGAAGTATCTGGCACACAGTAGGTGCTCGATATATAGATTCTGCTCCATCCACTCAAGCTCATACTCTTCACCCACCAGTCACTGAGCTGTTGAGATGGAACTGAGCTGTTTTGGGTGAATCGATGTGGGCTCCAGGGATCCCTGCCTTCTCTGAGTGTCACAGATTTCACCTCCATACTAGGCCCTCACACTTAATTTGAGGTCTTTATGATGTGAATTCCTGTCAAGGCAATCTTCCCTTCCTGGATCCGTTCAGTCTTTTAAATAAAATAATAACCAGAATAATAACAGCTCAATCCTTTCAATCCCACTATGAAATAAAAACTATCTCCATTTTGCCTATGAGGAAACTGGGGTTCCGAAAAGTTAAATAACCTTTCCAAGATCACACAGCCGGTAGATGTGAAAGCTAAGCAGAGCTCTGTCTGACCCTGAACAGCAGACTCTCAACATTAGGCAATATTTCCTAGATGTTGGCCTAACGGGCAGACTTAGTCTCTGGCCCTACTGCACTTGTCTTTTGGACCTCAGTCCAAGTTCACTTGGTTGAGTGCCTTTTGGGTCCTGATACTGTCATGGGGTGGCCGCTCCTCACCCCATCTCCCGGTGGCTCTGTGCCCACCACCTCTACATAAAGCGGACGGAGGGGCAGGCCCATTGCTCCTTGAAGGCCAGGGTCAGTGGGTTGATCTCCGCATGCGCATCAACCTAAGCTCTTGACACCTGGGCCTTGCCTCCCCCGCAGCCTAAGCACAAGGCAGCCGGGACCCTCTTCCCCTGCCCTTCATCAGGACCCAGTCACCTGCTGCAGAACCCTGAGGCCTCTGGACTGCCCGCTGCCTCCTAGACCCCGAATGGCCAGGATCCCCACCTGTCAAGGGGCACCCCAAAGCCCCTTCTCCCAATCGTGTGTCCAGACTATCTAGAATCTAGATTCTAGATGCTGAGTCCAGCCACCAGCATGGCTGTCCTCCATCACTGAGCACCAGTCCTCACCCTCCCCTCAAGCCTGGGGTCCAGGTCTGCCCCTGGGGAAAGGAGGGAGTGGACCCAGGAAGCTGCCAGGGCTGGGGCTCAGGCCCGTGGCCACCACGGGGGCAGCCAGTCAAGGAGAGGATCCTGAGGGATTCCAAAGGAAGCCATCCATGGATCGGTTTGCAAACCTTAACAACATCCAGGCAGGGTGCCCAGCCCCTGAGGCCCATGTCAGAAAACTGCCCCTGGGGCCTCAGAGGACAGAGCTTGGGAGCAGCTCACTCTCCTCCCAAACACACTCACCCCCACAGTTGAAACACAGCCTGGACGGTCACACCACTACGAGCACTTGCTCCACAAGCCCATTCATAAAAAGGACACTCACAAGTCCACTCATGCCCTCGCTCCAGAGACAGAAAGCCATCCACCCATTCAGTCACTATGGCTTAAGCCCCTGCTCCGTGCCAGGCATGCTTCAAGGCACGTGGGATACATCCGTGGCCAAGACAGACAAAGGTGCGATCCCTAGGGAGGTCTTTCATTCCAACTGGAAGGCCAACAGCACAAAGCAAACTTGAAGGACTAAGTCATTTAGTGCGCAGGCGGGTGGTGAGGACAAAAGGAAAAGGAGAACTAGGAATGGGGTGCTGGCAAGGGGGCGGTAGCAGCTTTAAGTGGGGTGACTGGGGCTTCATCAAGAAAGTGACGCTCAGAGTGCTCAGCAGCCACCTGTGCACGGCCAGCGGCTCTGGGATGGGACAGTCCATTTTCCCAACAATGTTCATTCCGCCGTTACGTTAAATACGCCCTGTCATAAACCCGAAGACCTGCTGAGGCTACCAAATACCGCGCGCCTGGGACCCTCCCGGCAGGAAGGCTGATCAATGTCACCACGTCAGGGGAGTGATCATGGGATCCCACCACCTCTCCCAGCGATTACGATTTCTCCTTCTTCCTCCAAGTGCTGTCTAAACCAATGATGGCGAACCTTTTGAGCTCGGCATGTCAGCATTTTGAAAAATCCTAACTTAACTCTGGTGCCGTGTCACATATAGAAATTTTTTGATATTTGCAACCATAGTAAAACAAAGATTTATATTTTTGATATTTATTTTATATATTTAAATGCCATTTAACAAAGAAAAATCAACCAAAAAAATGAGTTCGCATGTCACCTCTGACACGCATGTCATAGGTTCATCATCACTGGTAAACCTTCTGTCTTCTCCGCCTCCCTTCCTGACACCCTAAAATCTGTGCTCCCACCATCAGAGCTCCATCAAAACGGTGCCTGGAAAGATAAGCAACACTCTGTAAAGGTACCTCTCCCTTTCACCTGGCTTTTCCTGCACTTTGGTGATATCAGCTCCTCCGGGTCCACATATGGTAATTGTATGATTAACCGCATTTCCAGGGAAAAGGGAAGTGACGCTGAAGGGAACTCTTGAAGAAGGTGATTAAGTTATTTGTTCCTTCCTTCAATAAATATTTATTGAACATCCCCAGTGCCCCCGTGTGCCAGAGATTGTCCTCATGGTGGGGGTACAGACATGAACAACACAGCTGAAATTCCTGCCCTCCTAGCGTTCACATTCTGGCAGGGGAGAGAGAAACCATAAACAAAATAGATACAGCCGTCCCCCCTTACCTGAGGTTTCGTTTTCCACGGTCTCAGCTATCCGTGGTCAACCATGGTCTGAAAATATTAAATGGAAAATTCCAGAAACAAGCAACTAATGGGTTTTAAATGCATGTCTTTTTGAGCCCCCCCCCCTTTGTCCAGCAGAGTCACACTGTATATACTCCCTGCCGGCAGCCACCGTTATCAGACAACTGTCGTCGTATCGCAGTGCTTGTGTTCAAGGAACCCTTATTTTACTTACTAGTGGCCCCACAGCGCGGAGTAGTGATGCTGGCAGTTCAGATGGGCCAAAGAGAAGCCATAATGTGAATGTGCGTGCAGGGAGACGCACAGTATATGTAGGCTGCAGTATGATCTGCAGTTTCAGGCACCCACTGGGGGTCTTGGAATGCATGCCCCGGGTAAGGGGGTCCACTCTAAGTAAATATATGGTGTGTTCAATGGTGATCAATGTTAATGGAGATTAAAGCAGAGAAGGAGTAAGAAGGGAGGAGGGTTTTAAGCAAGGATGGCCTCCTGTCCTTACCTCAAATTTTTCCACTGCACAAAACACACCCCAGAATATTTCCAAGACACCATCACACACTCACACTAGACTCCACACAGACTTAGGCACGTGGACCTCCTCTCTGCTATGAAAAGGGCACTCACACAAACACACATGTACACACAGACACACACA